ACCAATTTCCAGGAATAATCTTAGCGTCGATCAAAATTCTCTTAGATTAAATTTTCGATGCCTACTGTCAGTACTGATAATGATATAAGATGCGTAAAAATCTAACACACAACTATTGCATTTTGGAGGACACTGTGTGATAGTTTTTAAAATTATAAAACATTTGAAACACGCTTTGTTCACCGCCGACATAATGCCGATTAAATCCTAAAAGTGTCAGATAGACGTCAATGAATTTCTATCCAATTTTCTAAATCCCAGAGTCTCAGTCGAAAGGTGTTGAGACCAAAATACCGTCGGGATTTACCCAAGGTGGCCATCTGGGAACGAGGGAAGACACCACTACTGCAGGGAAGCCTCGCAGTGCCTCGGAAGGTTTTCTCCAATTGGATGGGGGTTTTCTAAAGAACGAAGCAATTCATTGTTATAAACACAAAAGCAATTGTCAAATCGAGCCAATGAAAATCACTCTTCCGAGCTACTGTGAGGCTACCCCTACTGCATGGAATGCACAGCCTTATGGCTATCAAGACCATCAACACTTTAGAATTACTTGATGCCTTTTTTTATTAACTGTAGTCTAACACTTGGAATTTATGCCTATGGGTGTTAATGTAAATCACTGATTTGAAATATATGGGTCTGGCTAGAATATACCTTTGAATTCAATGAGCCAATTTTGAAGCTAGAATATTTATAATTATAGATGAGATTTTAAAATCGGATCACGACGTGTTTAAATATTGTAAGATATAGCTTCCCACATCTCTTCTAATGAGTTTTAGAACATCAGTAAAATTCATGAATAATTAATAAGGCCATAAACAAATCACGATGCGGTATTTAGGTCACATGTGCACACTTGTAAACCGCATTAAATATCAGAAAGTTGTGTTAGAGGGATGTTTATGAAAGTTAACAATACTAATTGAGAAGCATGGATGTTTATGAAAGTTAACAATACTAATTTAAGTTTTAATAGCATGCTAATGAAGCGTGAGATTGCCCCCATGGGCAGAGAATACTAATAAAGACTAAAGTAAATAAATAAATTCATTTTACAAGTACGTTAAAATATTTTCGGGAAGAATTTCTATTCCGACAATGTTTATCCTTTCTCACTGATAACTAGAAACCGTAAGAACCTCTTCTGCTATTTTAATAAAACACAAAACAATAGACACTCATCAATATTCATGTACTATTTAAAACATGAGCAGCAGTGTTTTATCAGATATAAAGACACGAGGCGAAGCCGAGTATCTTTACTGAGGTCTGATAAAACACGCACTGCGAATGTTTTAAATTGCTTCAAAAACGATCGATCTTACTAGTTCATTGGCGAAGTAATTTTCAAAAAATACGTTGTGGAAGTCGAGAAATCAAAGTTAAAGTTTATGTAAATCAAGGAAAATCTCTATCACATATAAAGATACGACACGCTTATTATTTTTCTTTGTGTTTTCCTCATGAATTATTAACGAGTTTTTGAATTTAAGATTGAAAATGGTTACAAGTGTCTATTGTTTTGTGTTTCATTAAAATACTCTACGGCAACTGCAATGTTTTGGTCTTTTCTACTTTGTCCAGATTTCAGTCTGTATCATGTCCATTCGTACTGCTACAGTTAATGCCCAAATTTAGTGAAAATTACCACGGTGATTAGCTTTTATTGATGCGCAACGATTTCAGAAATGTTCAATTTCTTTCAAGTGGTATCAGGAATTCTTTGCTGATTCCCTTGCTAACGCGTGGTTATTTTTACAGTAAGAACAAGCTAGGACAATGAAATTCCGAATTTATAGTTAAAAGTAGCACGGTGATCAGCTTTACAATACATCGCAGTCATACCAAGAATTTTCAAATTCCTAGTGGCAAAACTAGCCATGGAAACTAGTCATGCTATGCTAATAAATCTGCACCTAAGTTAGCTAACTTAAAATTCAAAGCAAACTTCCCAGAGCTTGTTTATAAATTTGGAAATATTTCTTTAGAAATCATATCTGAATCAGTAGAAGTTTTCTTCTCTAAAGTTTTGAAATAAACAGACGTGCAGAAATACATAAACTAATAATTTAATTTAATAATAAAATACCGATTTGTAACCTTTAGGTTAAATTACATCAGTAAAAAGTCTCATTATACTACAATATGAATATCTAAATGCATAAAATTATTCATAACTTTAGTTGAAAAAGTTATAGAGTTCAAATTTAAAGATATTAAAATTATGGTCTATTCATATGTGAATTAACCATCTGTGGAAAAAACGATTTCATAAATCTGTCCGTTTTACAACTATAGTTATTATAATCGCTTCCATAACGTGTATTATAGTTATGTTCAAGTTTAGGCGGTAAGAGGTCACCCAATTTGTCTCCATGTGCATTTTTAACAAAAAAACGTTCGCATAATAATCGCCCCCGATCTTTCAGTAAGGGTACACCAGTAATACTGCAAGCTTCTCTGTAAGTAGCGAAAGGCAAGACAATACGCAGAGCCCGCTTCTGGAGTTTTTCGATATCTTCACTAAAACAGCAGATTAAATTTTAACCGAGGGTTTGCGTTAACCCACCTTTGAACAATCAGCCCCTGAAGGTTTGAATAATGGAAATCATTAAAAATTTGTACAGCTTAATCTGTTGCTATGGCTAGCTTCGAAATTCCTTCAACAAGCAGATGGTATCAGGATTATAGTGATTTATTCTCAGGAATTGGCAGTTTTTGAGAAAAACCATGCCGTCCTCAAGTTTGATAATGCTATTATATACACACCCATATTAATAAAGATATTTTTATTAGATTGTAATTGACAGTTATTAATGAATTCGACGCATAGCAAAATTCAACGTTTCTAACACTAAACTGAAATTATTTCTAATTTTACACCGTTAATCCATTATATCTCTCAAGCAGCTCATGCTACACTCCAGTAATTTTATATAGTTCTGCTGATGACAAACAGGAATTCCCCAAATTCTCAAATTCATTGACGCAATGATTTCTGGGAATGTATAATCTCGTTCATTCATTCCTGAAAATTCATTCCTGAACTGCAAATTGGATACAAGTTTACACACCTAGATATTGATGATATTTTATACTATACAAATTCACCAAAGTTGCTTGTAGATAAATATCCAATCTTATTTTTCACCCTGCTCGGTTTCCTTTGTTCTTGTCGGGGAATATATTCAATATTCTCCTCTAATCAATTTCCGTTTAATAATCCCCTCTAATATTCACCTGCAATTAATAATCCCCTCTAATATTCACCTGCAATGTCTTTGCAGCACAAAAAAAATGAGAAAAAACAACATCGCGAAGGCAATATGGCATTGAGAATTGTTTCTTTTCTGACTCATTAACGCGACCTCGCAGTGTGAAAAATAAGTACGTTATTTTGAGGCACCTCGGGGATATGTGTTTATTCACCTCGGCGCTGCGCGCCTCGGTGAATAAATCACATATCCCCTCGTTGCCTCAAAATAACCTATACATCTCTGTATCTTATTGATGATCGTGTTATGAGGGTCTCACAGGGATTTCTATATTCAACTCATATTAATTTAAGACTGTAGTGTAATATTGATAAAGCAGTGATTATGTGAATAATGTTTGTTGTTTGAATATTTTTTTTGAGGAATTGTTACCCCCCCCCACCCTTGGAGACCCGCAGTAATTAAACATATCAACACATAGCAGAATTCGGCGTTTGAAACAGGTCGGACTCTGAAGTAACATTGATGTTTAGCCAACGTCTTGTTGCTGCTTGTGCCGGCTCTGACCTTCGCGACGTGACTTCGGTTTCAAGTTAAGTGGATATGATATTTGCTGTGTTGGTGTAGTGTACTCAGGTGAATAAGATGCTTGTGGGCTAGTATGCCAAAGGTCGTAGGTTCGATTCCCACCGGCCGTGGCCAGGCATATTTTTCAAGCGTGCCCGGTGTGGATATACATTCAGATGTACATACTTAAATGATATACACTTAAATGGATATGTGCTGTTGTTTAATCGAGTCCACCAAATACGGCGTTACGGAACACTCGAAGAAAAAGGCAAAAAGAGATGACCTTCACTGCACCTCTTGAGACAGCTTAGAACTGGATATATATAAATGGAGCTGGTCGAGTGAAAATTAATTATTGTTGTTTAAACTAATATTATGATACCAAATGGAAGCATTAATGCCCATTTATTTTCGTATCAGCAATGATTTACAAATCGCAAAGACTATTAGATAGAATTTGATATCAGGATTTGGAGAATCTCACAGGATTTGGTGAATATAGACTAGAAGGGGTTAACAGTCGAAATTGCCATCTGCATAACCCCTCAACAATTTGTTGTATCAAGTGAGAAGCCCATACACCTTACAGTCGCATCACCTTAGACTTAAGCCCGCCGCACATTGACACGAGAGCAACTTGCTGAGCTATTAAACTGCCTCGCGAGGCGGTTAGCTCAGCAAGTTGCTCTCGTGTGCGGATAGTTTTCGTGAGGATTTGACCTCTCGAGGCCTTGAGGAAAATATCTATCGTGTTTGATATTTTTCACCTCGCGAGGAAAAAATCTCAGCATCTGCAGATATTGTGAGCTAAGTGCTGAGCTGCTTGAATCAATTAGCCAATGACAAACCATAGTTTCTTTATGTGACATGGAACAAAATGGAGGAAAATGCAAATAGTTTTGTTAATTATGTTGTTGTTGAGTAGTTTTCCCAACGCGTGCGGTGAAAATACATAGCTGAGCTAGCTGCCACTCGAGGCGGTTAGCTCAGCAAGTTGCTCTTGTGTGCGACAGGCTTAAATTATATACATGCACTTGTGGTTAGAGCTCGACAACTGTCTCTCTGTAGTTCAGTTGGTTAATTAGAGCTCGACAACTGTCTCTCTGTAGTTCAGTTGGTTAGAGCTCGACAACTGTCTCTCTGTAGCTCAGTTGGTTAGAGCTCGACAACTGGCCTCTGTAGCTCAGTTGGTTAAAGCTCGACAACTTTCTCACTCTAGCTCAGTTGGTTAAAGCGCTGCACCGGAATCGCAGTGCTGCAGATTCGATTCCTGCGAGAGCACCTATAGTTGCATTTTCGCAACCGCTCCTGGATAGATTTAATAAAATACCCCCTCAACAATTACAATTCGATATCCCTGGTGGATTATGACTCGATTTCTTTTTTATCTCATTTCGCAAGCCATCACTAATATTTTTGGCACAATCACAGTTTAAGCGATATTAGTCATGATCGCCATAATATTTAGCCTTCCGGAATTATCTAACGATCTAGTCATATTAAAATGATATGCATCCCGAATCAATGTTAAGACCGGATTGTGAATGTGTGATCGCGTCAAAACCAAGAAGGAAGCCGATGGTTTAGAGGATTATTGATATCTATACCTTAATTGATTTGGACGACAGAAAAACCTGGAAGGCCAGCTTATGTGCTTCAAATACTGACTGTCTCATTTCAACAAATTTAAGTCAGGCTGACATTATCCGTTTCAAAGCTATATCGATGCAGTGCATAATTCTGCGTGCGATATGCGCTTTAATAGTAAACTACATGTTGCATTTTTTTAAAGTCACTAAATATATCCTGTAAAATAAGTCGGGCGTTTTTTAATGCCGTAGTCACAACAAGTAAAAAACGACGTCCGTTTGTTTATCGTGCGTTGGGTATTGACTTTATAGATGAACTTTTTTATTGAAGTCAAGATCAGGCAATTTTTTATCGTATCTTATTCGGCCATGATATTTCTGTTGTCAATGATACCAGAGAAGTATCGTTGGACAGCTGTTTTACTGATAAACAGCTTTGGCTTTCGTTTGTTTACAGCTGATTCAAAAAAGGTTGTCCTTTGCAAACCTTAAACTCTAAACCTTAAACTCCAAGCGTGCAAAGCATAGTAGGAGCATCATTGAATCAGTTTAGAAATCATATATGGGGCACATTTCTTTGAGACATGGTAAATATCTCCTCATGAGAACAATTCATTTACAATTATTCTAGGAACTCGATACTTAACACATGTCAAATTTGGATAACTTCTGTGCAAGGAATTTGGGCATCTCTGAAGGCGAGGCGAATCATTGCTCGGCAGAGAAATAAGAAATTTACTTGACAGATTTGTACGTGGAAATTCCCCTCGAATTTCTCGTGTACAAATCCCTCCAAAGTGTATATGACACAAATTTTTTTAACGCTTATACCCCGTACAGGGGATGAATAAAACACAGTTAAGTGGATATTCCGTAATATCTGACAGAACGCTTTTTTTTGGCCGTAAACTTTTCAAAATTTCAATCTGAAAAATGTGTTTGGAGGCCTGGAGCTGAAATTATTGGTGATCGTTCCATGTTTCGCGCACCAAGATAGTAAACGTTATGTAATGGATATTATAGTGTACTGCAAAGTCAACTGGATACCTCCACATACATATATACACACCCTAACCCTAAACCTAACCCTAACCTATATTGGTGCGCGAAACATGGGACGATAACCAAATTATTACTCAATGACATCACATTGGTTGCACACGATGTCTCGAATCTGTTTCATCTGTATATATTTCCAGGTGCATTTCATGATAGTGGTGATATTTATATCCCTGGCCTGGGCGATGGATTTGAAATGCATCTATCTATATGAAACACTCAGGAAGGCTAAAAAAATGAGTGGGATTAACTGGAAACTCAATATAGCTCATGATATTACCAAAAGCATTTGTGATCCTGTGAAGAGAGATAACGAAAGCAGGCTATCATTTGTGAATTTCATTCCAATCCAGAAATATTTAATGTAGCTATTCACTGAATCTTCCGTTACAAATATGTCAACACTGACAGGACTGGACGCATGGTACGGAGAATGCATGCAAAAACAGCAGTTTTTAACTTTTTAACAATTTTTAACTTTTAACCGTTCCATGTTGAAAGCTTATAAATCGGTTAGGTGAAAGCTTTGTGACTGATGCCCGTTAAAGCCAACATTGTAGGGGAGAACGGGGGAGACAAAGACGCCAACGTATGTGACCAATGATACTTTAGTTTACACCTATCAGCGCCCACGGAATTTTTACCATGATTGTAGTGACGTCAGTGTCTTGTCGACCAATCCCAGACACACATAAGTTAGCGACGTAGCGGGGGGGTGTTAGAGAATTTGGGGGGGGGGGGACTCTCGAATGATCATCACTGAAAGAACAGTAACTGAATTGGGCAACACTGATACACTGATATATGATTAAATATTATTAGCTTTGAAGTTGACCATGTATTTCTCCCTAATTCCCATGCCATGTCCCCCTATGCAGGTTGCGATCACTGCAGCTAATTAAATGTTTACATTACGTTTGCGTCAAGACTGCACGCTAGTTTATTTATTCAGCAAACTCTCGATTAGATTTTCGCAAAGTTGTTCGTCATTGCAGAAACAACATAAACAAAGGGTGTCTCGATGCATAGATTATCCTCCATGCAAATGGTATTATATAATTATTAAACAAATAATTGCGTTTTTCTCAGTGCCAAGTGCCACCGCAATGAATGAATGAACACACCATAGTCAATAAAATAAGAAAGCCCCCGGCTTTAACTGGGATAGGGTCCCTGGTCTTCCACATTTAAAGTGGCAAGGGGGGGGGGCAAGATGCAAAATTTGCTGAAATACATCAACTTCGCCAAATTAATTTGGGCCCCTGGCTTGAGCCGTTCGGGGCCCAAAGGAGTTAATCACTGCAATGGTTAAATGACGACATAGCTATTGGTTGCTCTAGTGAAAATACAATACACACGTGACGATGAACCGACTATTTCTTGCATAAACAAAGACCAAAGTCTCGAAGACAAAAGCATAGATAATGAGGTATTTATGTTTTCCAATGTGGTATAAATTCCTGACAAGTTTATGTGGTGCACCGCTTCGAAGACAGCTAATTTTCACTCCTTAACCATTTTGCACGAAATCTTCAGGTTTATATGATATTTTGCACGTTTTTTTCGGTGAGAGCTGCTAAAACCACGAATCAAAGACGTAAAAACATGAAGATATAAATCTTTATTTATGCGACTTAAAAATATTCTGCATTCCAATTCGTGTGCAGAAGATTTGCTGACGATATGAAAATATTATGGCAACACAGTAACACGTAACATTAAATAATCCCAAAGGGTCAAGTAGATTGCTTTTCATAAATGATCGTGACGTATGCGATTTAAGGATTTTATTTAATCAAGAAACAAGCTGTGAAATGATTTGGGAATCTTATTAGTTATTAAAGCTTTCAATAAACACGGTTTAGCAAGCAATTGGAATGCATTCTTTTCCCGCGGCCATACAGACTTGTGTGTTTTCTTATGTTTTACTTAGAGTAGAGTTAATCGCTTTATGAACTGTATTTAACATGCAGCTAATAACCAGCGTTTCGGTTATTTTTATTGGCTTGATTTAACAATTTCTTTTGTGTTCAAAACAATGAAATTGTTGGCTCTTTACAAAGCCTGAGATTGGAGGAACAGGCATGAGAGTTGGCAAGCGAGAGTTTGCATGAAGTTTAAATGCATGAGCTTTTTATGGTAAAGCCTGGCTCACAATTCTGTAGGCGATTCTTCTCCTCAAATGGCAAATGTAATCGAATGGTCGAATGACATGTAAAAGACTTAGAATTGTTTGCTTATGAAAAGCAACTCTGTCTTCTGTATTCTAAAAATTCACTCGCACTCAAAGAGTGGAGGTTCAATCTGAGCTTCCCTTGAGTGTCAATGCTGTTTTTGAAAAGCTGGAGGGTGAGTAGTCACATAGTAAGGTATGACACTAGCCCTCCAGCTATTCAAAAACAGCATTGGCTGATTGGCACTCAAGAGAAGCTCAGATTGAACCTCCACTCTTTGAGTTTGAATGTGAGCGTGAGTGAGCTTTTAGAATACGGGCGTATACTTTTGCGTGCGAGTTCACTAATTTGTATGCTAGCGTGAACCAGGCCTAACGTGATCAT